CCAACTCTTTGCAGACCACTACCTTTGCCACCTGAGCATGTCCGATTGTTTCTTCAGAAGAGACATAAAAGAGGAAGCAACTCTGTGCTGTAGCTGTGTGATACACTCCTACAGAGAGAGTCCTGTGGATTGTTTTTGATAGACAGGACCTGAATGCAACATTGTTATGAATATGTGTGCCTTGTGATCCCCTTCAATATTCTTGGCAATAATAACGATTATGTTATTACTTCTATTGTTATTATCAACTAAACAGACCCTGTATTTCCTCGATACCCAACTGCTCCTCCGCTTCTAGGGAAACTGCCGTTTTGTTGCCGTGGTGATGAGTGCTGGCAGTGATTGGTGGTATGACAGGACTGCTGGAGACAGACAGGGGATTCACCAGGCTTAGATATAACAGAGGAGCTCAAACATTGTGGCAATGAGGATGCACGCACCGGATCCTCAAGTTCTAATTAAGCTGGTTGTCTGTGTGAGCCGTTGGGTCGGACTAATGGTGTCTGATCCAGCACAGAGCTGCTGAAGGCCGGCCAAGAGCCACTAACAGGTCCTCTCATTGCTTTCCTGAATAAAGAGCCACATTTTGAGAAAATAAATCTTTCATACATTCTCCTTTGGCACAAGAGACTTTTATCTTAGTCCCATTTGCATTTTTGTCACCAAAGCAATTTACATTTTTATAGCATACTTAATGAACAAGAAAGTAATTTACATTTTCCTGCTCACCACTACATTGTCTAGAGCATATCTGATGTGGAGGGAACAGCATTTGGAAACGTGTGGGAGTGCTTGCGAGCACCAGAGAGATATGAGTGTGCAGAAAGAGAACCAAACAACTACATGATTGTTTTAAAGCAAAAATGTTGTGTAGAACACACTGTCATAATCAAACAGGGACAAGAGGACGAGGGCTTTCAGGTGCAAATTGAGGCCAAAGCGTCTTTCACTTCAGCTGGCCTTCACATCAAATACACAGAGGCAGGCCTCTAGAGCAGATTATACCATTTAAACAGCACAGAAGACAACAATTCATACAAGTGGCGTTCATACTTCTTAGCCTGCAAAGATGAAAGAGAATAATTCATCACGATTTTGCTTCTGGTCAATGACCCAATTCTGTCAATAGCTTATTATATTTTCTGATGCATTATGTAGACATTATGAGGAAGAGTATACTGGTAAAAGGCACAATTATTTCCTCATTATTAGCCATATAAGCCTTTCAAAAGTGGTTACCAGAAGCAAGATGCATGGATAGTGAGGGGCGGATGCATCTTCACGCGGGTGGACTCAAGAAGAACAACACCTGTGAAATATAGAAGAAATATAGATGCCTGGCAGCAAATAATACCTCTTAATTTGTTTAAAATTGTACAAGAAAGCGTTCCTCAGATTTACCATAACATATATTTTGTGCACATTTTTCAAACATTGGTAAAAAGGCAGTAGTAAAAAGGGAAACATCAGCTCTGACACTGTAGATCAAGGTCAATATATTGTATACAGATATATTTAGAGATGGTATCTCCAGTAATAGGTTTCAGTATGGTGCAACCTTTTGAAAAAAGGTATGTATAAAACAATAAGTTATAAAATTGACAGGTCCATCTTGGCCTCTTTTTCTATGATCAGGTTCTGTCCAGTTTAACTCTGAGTTACATAAAAAGTACTTTTTTAGGAGGCAGGGTTGACTCTGAGCTCAGTGTGATTTGGGCCAGCACTGGCTCACAGTGGCCACAGCTCCAAAACCCTCCTTGCCAAACTGGACCAGGTGTTCAACCACTAGTCCTAATATTTAAACTTTTATTAGACCTCCACAAGAGAGATTAACTGCAGCTGTGTCCCGCACTGTAATTGTAATCAGATTTGCTGTTTGTGATAAAGTGCTGGAGCCAAAGCACAAAGAGAGGAGGGTAAGGGAGGGACAGGGAGGGTAAGGGAAGGACAGGGAGGGGATGGGAGGGGAGGGGAGTGGAGGGGAGGTTATCGTGTCCTCTTCAGCATCAGATACATCAGCCAGGTGACACACACTGTGTACAAAACCCCTGCTGCTGCTGCACAGTGGAGGCCATGTTTATGGATGTGTCTGACTGCCCCAGAGTTTACAGTATGGCTGAGAGAAACAAACACCAACATACAGAAAGCTCTCAGAGCAGAGAACAGATGAACAAACAAACAGACAGATTACGGACTGTTTACCTCTCAGAGATGCTTTCATAGCCTGTATATCATCTTTTAAGAGATGAAAGCACACAAAAATGTTTAATTGTTCTTGTTCTAGTTTTGTGTTATATTATATTAGTGTTATATAAGCAACAGTGGGTTAACTTTACTCAGTACCAATGGGTAGAAAACCACCCAGAACAGGGGTTGTTTTTATCCAGCAACCCAACAGTAATATAAAGAAAACACTGGGTCAAAGAAACCTATTGGTAAAGTAAAGACAATAAATAAGTGCTATGTGTTGACAATTATGAACAGAATATTTTTAATTCATCACGAATGTAGTGAAGATCTTCGTTTTGAACCTCGAGTGTGCTGAATTATAGGCTGCAATTCTGCAGAATAAAAGTTAAAGAACAACCCCACAGTCTTTTCTGTTTACCTACAGTACCTCACTAAAGGTAACTATAGTAACCAGTGTGTGTACAGCACACAGAAGAGTTGTTTCATGACTGAATTAAAAAAAGACAAGGAATGAATGACATTTTGTATGAAATACATTGATGCATTCTTGAGTTAATGCAGACTGAGCACAGAGAGCTGAGTAATTGAAAGCTGTGACAACATCAAGACCCTGATCTGGATGTTTTATCCCCGAATGGAGGGAAATACTTTTACATTTTCACTTAACTCTTTCGTAGGATTATATTTATTCTCATATCTTAACTATTTATGGGCAGTGTTTTGGACAGTTTGGACTGGTAAGACAAATCTTTGTTATGAGAGTGGAGCACTTGCCTTACCATATCACCACTGCCAATGTGCTCTTGAGCAAGGCACTGCTGGTCTGGATTGAGCACTGTGAATGTACTCTGATTACATAAAGGTTTAAAAGGTAATCTGCATGTGATGTAGATTAACTTCTGATTTTTCAGTTCAATCACAAATGAAACAGCCAAAGTCACTGATGTGACCTTTGTTACCTGGAATCCCATCAAGTTTCTCAGCTTATTGTCGCCTTTAGGGACGTCAAAGCATGACATTTACATAAAAATACAAAATGTGGTTCCACTTTAGTTTGATATTCCGCCTACAGATAGTATTTGTAACATTTCAACACCTTATTAGTTGAAATTAAACAAATAAAGATTTGGTTAGATTTAGGCACAAAAAACAACTTGGTTAGGGTATGTTCATGAATTGTTACACACAGATTATTGTTACAGATAATCAATTATAAATATAGACAAAGCAAATGTTACAAATACTCTACTATAAACTATCTGTAGGAAGGTTATACAAATAAAGTGTTACCCAAATGTATTAAACTTTAATTTCAGCATGAAAATACTTCATATCTGTTTCCTTATAGCTTGTATCCAGGGCTGTAGCACCCACCATGCCCTGTTTTAGCGAGATGTGGTGTTTTACAATTATGAAAGTAGGTATTAAATTTGGCTGATTTACAGGACAGATCTAGACAGATCCCTAAGAAATGCCTGGCCACTCCAGTTTTGGGTCAGATCTAACGCATTAATTTAGATTCATTTTTAAAATGTGATAAAAAAACAGAAATTCATTTAATGAGCTGTTATGGCCACAGACAAAATAATATGCTTGAATTCAGTGAAGAAAGGCAAAAAAAATGCCTGAATATTTGGAAATCAAAAAACTGATTGGTTGAATAACACTGATTATGTCATTATCATGGTACCTGTCAGTGGTCGGGATATAATTAGGCAGCAAGTGATCATTTTGTCCTTGATGTGTTAGAAGCAGGAAAAATTGGCAGCATGAGGATTTGAGCGACTTTGATAAGGTCCAAATTGTGATGGCTAAAAGACTGGATCAGAGCATTTCCAAAACTGCAGCTCTTGTGAGGTGTTCCCGGTCTGCAGTGGTCAGTACCTATCAAAAGTGGTCCAAGGAAGGAAAAGTGGTGAACCGGAGACAGGGTCATGGGCGACCAAGGCTCATTGATGCAGGTGGGGAGTGAAGGCTGGCCCAACAGACGAGCTACTGAAGCTCAAACTG